TGTGGCTGATTCCAGGATGACAAGCAAATCGAGACTCGTGTGCCCACTGGAGAACTTGGGATCGCACCGCGTCTGGGACAAAGAGGCGATTAGCTGGATTAGCGATTAGCTGGACCTGTACTGTTGCTGAGCCCTCTTCACGACCTCCTTAATCTCCCAGGTCACAGCTGCTACCACACAGGATGGAGGCAGGGAGAGAGAGCATCAGGCTTTATGTTACTGGATCCAGGACGATGTTAAGTTAAATCGACCAAAGAATAATGCCCACCAGGCTTGACGGGAGTTGAGGCGTTTGGCTGTTTGAATATAGGACCGATTTTTATGATCGGTCCAGACAATAAATGGCTGCTCTGCCCCCTCCAACCAGTGTCTCCATTCCTCTAAGGCCAGTTTAACTGCAAGAAGCTCACGGTTACCAATGTCATAGATTCGTTCGGCTGGTGACAGCCGACGGGACAGGAAGGCACAGGGGTGTAGCTTCTGATCAGAGGCAGCCCGATGAGAGAGGACTGCGCCAACCCCTGTATCAGAAGCATCCACTTCTACAATGAACTGGCGAAAAGGGCCTGGGTGGACGAGGACTGGTGCAGAGGTGAATCGTGTCTTAAGATCAGTGAAGGCCACTTCAGCTTCTGGAGTCCAAGAAAAGGGAAGAGTTGGGGATCTGAGCTTGGAAAGGGGAGCAGCAACACAACTGTAGTTTCTGATAAACCTGCGATAGAAATTCCCAAAACCAAGGAACCGTTGAAGCTGCTTACGGGAAGTTGGTCTGGGCCACTCAACAATGGCTTGTGTCTTGGTTGGGTCTGTCCTCACTTGCCCGCTCTCGAAAATGTATCCCAGGAAAGCCACCGAAGACACATGGAACTCGCAATTCTCAGCCTTCATAAACAATTTGTTGTCCAAGAGTCTCTGGAGGACTTGTCTGACATGCCGAACATGTTCCTCTGCACTCCTGGAGAAGATGAGAATGTCATCCAAATAGACAAAGAATGAGTGATTGAGAAAATCACAGAGGACATCATTTACTAGGGCCTGGAAAACAGCAGGAGCATTGGTCAGTCCAAAAGGCATTACCAGGTATTCAAAGTGGCCAAGGGGGGTATTGAAACCTGTCTTCCACTCATCTCCCTCCCTGATCCTAACGAGATGGTAGGCATTCCGCAGGTCCAGTTTGGAGAAGATGGTGGCTCCCTGTAAAGACTCAAAAGCAGAACTGATCAAAGGCAAAGGATATTTGTTCTTTATGGTGATGTTGTTAAGTCCACGGTAGTCAATGCATGGTCGCAGAGCCTTATCCTTCTTTGATACAAAGAAGAAACCAGCACCCAGAGGAGAAGAGGAGGGACGGATGATTCCTGCAGCCAGAGAGTCATGAATGTATCTTTCCAT